TCCCACATACTGGAAAAGGTTCGATGGAAAGGACAAAGAGCAATGGTGAAAGGTCGTAGAGTTGGGCTTAGTAGCCACGGATCTTTTCAGCTTTCTTGCTGGGTAAGCCTATGGGAAGTGGTGCGGATCTTGGAGATTTATATGGTTGCTCTCTTTTTCGCTATCAAATGAGCTAATAGCCTATGCTTTTGTTTTTTCGATGGTAAAGAAAAAGGTCTTATTCTGTAAAAGAGCTCGGTGGTGGGAATGGGAAGCATTAAGCAGTCAGGACAAATCACGTCTTAAGGACATAAAAGTGGTCATTGTTGTACTTTTATGCATGACCTCTAGGCGATGAATCTCTCAGTAATAGTGTGAGAGTTGTGGTGATTTGGTTTTCTTCAATGCAGAAACTTTAGCTATAAAGTGGCCTTGGATGACACATTTGTGTGCCTCCCAAAAATCAGTCTCCTTCGTATTATTCTCAGAGAAGTAGTGGGTCTGGTTTGCGTATCTTAAATAACACAGCCTCATTCAGTCTCCAACTAATAGAGGTTGGGCGGTATAGGAGTGAATTCAGTGTCACTTCCTGTGAGTCTCGGTTGGCTTAGAGGATTTCCTCTCTCAGTGGAAATTTTACCAGGTAGCATATGATGCTGGGCTTTGTATGCAATGACAAATTTTAAGAATTGTGGGATCCCTATTCAGGAGGTCATTGAAAATTGAGGTCAGTATACTGCAAATATAGTCTATGGATTTCTCTTGTGTTCAGGAGGTACCGCAATCGGAGCTACTGCCAGTAGCTCCAATAGTCTACGTCCTCTAAAGTTGCGCCGTTTGGCAGTCAAGATTGTCAGTCGTAGCATCATGCGTGACATTAGGTTGTCATGATCCATCTGCGCATGTGATACCTACTCCTCTAGGCCTTGCATGTCCACGTGAATGGAGGCTTTGTTTCTCTGGGGCCATCTTTAGTTGGGAGAGCATTGATTAAGCTGGCCCAATCCATTTCCTGCGTGGAGCGGTGGCTGAGATGCAAGGACTACCAGACTGGTAAGATAGGAGCAGAGTAATGGGATAGTCACACTCCTGTTTGGAGTACCCAGAGGGCTTGCTACTTTTCCACATTATAGGAGTTGTGTGTTGAGTATAGTGATGAGTGGCACGGGTGCGAGAGAGAGTTCTGGATTAAGCAGCCATCTTCCTCTGTGGTATGGACACACCCCCAATATAATTTTTTTAACAGGTATTATTTTAATTGGCCAACCATTGGCTGTAATTAAAGTGAGATAGGGACACTTATTTTGTATGGGTGTGGTTAGGGGATTGGAGACCTCTAGCTATACCTGGAGCAGTAGAGGGGGGACATGCTATTATTTGGGGGGTTCGAGAATAGCATCTTCACCCCCCCTTATTTAATTATTAGACCCCCAATGCCCACCTATGTGTAAGTCCTCCACTTTGAATATGGGTAGGGGTTGGAGTTGGGGGGACTAGGTCTTCTCCAATTAGTATTACAATAGCCCCTTCCTACTGACCACAGGGGGCTGTAAGCATGCCGCTACATTTACTTTATTAACTAGCTCCCACTCAATGCCTATGGGCGGATCACAGGGGAGAATTATGTCCCCCTAGTTATTTCACATGTTATTTCCATCCCCCCAATTGCTCAGTGTTACTAATGTTTAGTAGATATGCCTCCACCTGCTGCATTTTATTGTTATATGGGACCTAATAGAGCCCCATAGGATTTTTATTTTTATATGGGGAGCCCTGCTGACTTTTATGAATAACCCAAACAAAATTCTTCCCATTGGGACAATATGATCAATAATCAGCTGAATAATCTTTTCATTGATAATCTACTAATAAATAATAATAATATACCACTAAAGTTCTAATGACCCCGTGCCAAATGGGGCAAAACCAATCTGCTGTATTCAGAACCATTCAGACTGAAAAACCCAAATATCGTTCATGCTATTTAACAATGTCCAGATGTTGCATGCTGCCTGGTGGCTGAAATTCAGAGTCAGTGTTTCAAATCCAGGCTTGGATGCTAGAAGTCCAAACTCTTTAGGATAGCTCTTACAAAGTAAGGATGAACACTATCTTTATGTCTGTTAAAATTCCCTCAAATTTACGCAATACAGAAGGCAAAAAATAATAATTTTAAATACGTCAAAAGATCTCTCACTAAGAAACAAAGCTGGCAGGAGTTACTACTTTGAAAAATATGTGCAAATGTCAGGTATTCTGAGAGGTCTGTATCTGTAAAAAAATACCCTTCAATTAATAATGATGTCAAAAGTGGGAAGGATGTGAGTGATAGGAATGCTGCTTTTCTGGATGAATGGAACCAACTACTTATGAACTGTTCATCATTCTTGAGAAGAACAACAGAAAGAGCACAGAAGGATTGCAGATTCTGAGTAAAACATATTGTGAGCTGGGGAAAGAATTCTGACATTTCTTAAAAATAAAGTTACAGATTTTCAAGTTCCAGAGTGGAGAACTTACAGGCTGCTCAGATTTTTACATTGTATATGAAGTCAACTGAGACCAGCCCCATAATTCTCACGCTACCTGTCATTAACCCATTCTGTGCATCATTTCCTGAGCAATATTTCATAAAACCGGCACCACCATTCTAAAGAGTCAAACGGCCTCCACTACCCGAGTCAGAGAGACAGACATTCTTAAGCTGGGCAGTTAGAGAATGGGCCTGCATTCTCCAATGCCCCTCTATCCTGGTATTAAGTGTGCCAAGTATTCCTAAGCCTAGTCTCACTGCCACTAAACATGCAAACTCTTACCTGAGTAGCTTGCCAACAAGATATCCAGACTTTTCTTAAACCAGTAAACTAAGACACTTATCTCGTCCACAAGACTCAATATATATGTATTGTTATTTTTTGCTTTTAAGGTTTTATGGAATACACATCAAAGAGCCCCTGTTACCGGTGATATTTGTTACATGCTTATATACATCATTTAAGTTACAAATAAATAAATGTGTCATTGCTTTTTACACTATTGTTAATGTCCTGCACTGGGCATATTGATTTATTTCACAGTATTACATCTCCAGCCTGAGATCTACAAATATATGTATATCCAAATTGCAACAATGGGGGAGTTGGGGGGGGGGGCGTTCTAAAGAGGTGATTTGCCCCAAATAATTGAAGACTAAAAGTGGTAAACGATGTAAGTGCCAAAAAAATTCAAACACCGTTTTCCACGTTTAAGTGTGAAATCATCAATGCTTCTGCGGCCCCCCAGATGTTGCTGAACCACAACTTCCGTGATTCTCAATGAAACAGATAGCCAGGGAATCACGGGAGTTGTAGTTCAGCAACATCTAGGGGGCCGCACGTTGGACAGCCCTGCTTTATAATGTGGTGAAAACATGAAAAGTGCCTGGTAGTCCTCTAAGTAGTTCAAAAGAGTTTGTAAACAGATCACTAGTTGTAAGTGCCAGATAGGTGCAAAAAAAGTTTTTTGCGATTTCCCAAAATTTTCGCTTTTAGCACTTACTATGTTTACCACTTTTAGTCCTCAATTATCCAACCAAGTTGGTGAACAAATATATGCTGATAAACATCCATAAAGGTGTGACTGTATTTTATGCACAGGACAGATTTTTTTGTTAATATATGTTTGTTGATGGTATGTGTGTGTAGGTAAGTTTGTGTATGTATAATATGCTGATAATAACACAATAGAGAGCATTGTTTAACTCATAGAATTATATATTCTTGTATTTAAAAAACAAAACTATATGTACATTGCATTGCTTACGGTTCCATTTACAAGTAAAGTCACAGGCCTACTATGTACAATGTATGAATTATATTAACAATTTCTGTCACTGCCATCTCGGTAAATAAACATATTATAAACATTAAAACCCACAAAACATAATATCATGGTATACATCACATGTATAAACACTGCAGGGTCCACTGAAAATTTAAAAAAAAAATTACCAGGAAAGAGACATACAGAGAGAAGATAGATAGATAGATAGATAGATAGATAGATAGAAAGATAGATAGATAGATAGATAGATACCTGGAAATTAAGCAATAATTAATGTGACATTGTGTTATATATTTGTTAAAATTTGATGTTTTAATTAAAACAGTACTGTGGCGTCCAAGGCCTTTCATATGATATACTTTTGACAATAATTATTTTTTATTTTATTTTAGCTATAATTCACAAATTAAACTTAATGAGACGAAGTTAATATACAAATATCATTATAATTTATTTTTAAAAATTTTGCAGAGTTTGGGATCTACAGCAACATCTGGATGCATGCGTAATGATTTAAAAACACATTTAAGTCACAAAGTACAAATCTCCCTCAACAGATAAAACAAAAAAATAACTACTACCATGTGGCACAATAAGAAAATATTAAAATGTTTCTAAAGAGGAAAAGAAATGCACATTTGAAGTCACAGTATACGCCCAAGTAGGCAAGCATCCATACGTAGCAGCCTACTCTGGGTATTGGAAAATCTTGCCGTGAGTATTGCTAAACAAGCGTTCCAAAATATGTATTTAATAGGCTCAACTAAAAACTCACAGGCTGTTTGGTAAGTATTCCTATTTTATAGGTAAATTAAGGCTATCGTTCTAGGCTCAATGTTGTGTATACCATGGTGTATTGAGGATTCTGGTGAGACGTTTGTGAGAAAATCCTAATTAGGTAGAAAAATACAACCAATTCACCAAGTTTTATTATATTTATTTTTGTCCTGCAGTTGTTAATAAATCATTGCATGCTCTGTCTATACGTCATCAAACGTTTATCTTGTCATATTATTTTTTTTAAATATTTACAAGTATTATTTTTCCAAAATTAGGAATATGATAGCAGCAGACACATTAATAGCATGGTATGGTATTGATGGAATAACAATGAATTTCAACATTGTTGAAAAAAGCGTTATGTGATTTCTCATGCTGATATTCAAAGTACAAGCATGCAGATTTTATAGTTCGGTTTATTAGTAATCAGCATTTTCATATCGGTAGGACTGTCCAGAGAAACCATTTCCCACACATGGGCCATATCGATAGAAGTCCAAGTTGTCCACTCTCTCAGATTTAGTGGGGATTGGTTCTTGGTAGCCTAGTGCTGTTTTAATGACACCAAAGTCATCTTGAGCCTTTATTTCCGGGTAGACACCTTCTGATATACTGTCCTGCATGTGTGTGTAGTTTGGAAGAGTTTTAACATCACAAACATTCTCATTGTATTTCACCACAGGAGGTTTGTAGGCTTGGTATGATACTTTGGTGGTGGTGGTTATAACAGTTTGCAAAGCTGGAGTAACAGGAGATGGACTTCTACCATATCTGCAGGGATATTCTGCATTGTAATAGGAATGGCCGGTGCTTGCTTGTATCTGCCCATAATCACTCCTGTCTCCATAGCCAGCTTTGCCAAATATTGGTTTCCATCCATGATGTTTGCCATTGGAATCATAGCTTCTTTCGTGGGAACCCAAGACCCCAAGGTTTGGGTGAGGTCCATTTAATGGCATTCGATCAGCATCTGGTAAACTGTTCACTGCCTCCTTGTAAAGAGGTGGGTATGCATTTGAGTTTATGTAGCCAGGGAAATCATAACAAGGTGCCCTGGGAACATATATTCTTGTATTAGAACACTTTGGAAATGATGACATTGAATCTCCCTGATAGCTTACCGAGTCGTAAGAAGGCTTGTAAGGGTCTGTGCTCTGGAATGAGGAATAATGTTGAGCCGTTATAGGGAAACTTGGATCTGCTACAAGACTAAACCGGTCTGATCCTTCTATGCAAGACATAGGATGAATATTGGAGAAATGGCCACCACTGTCGTTATATCGCCCAACCTGAAAAGTAGCAACACGTTATGTTTACAAACAGGATAACAAAATCAACCTGAACGTTGGCAGATTTGACTGTGATTTTAAAGTAAGCTAAAGGTCATGATAGCCATAGCAAAATAAATATATGTGTTTTTTGGGTTTTTCTCTCCATTACTTACATACAACTATCTAGAGTTGTTATGCAGCTTTTCGTAATGAATAAATGTGAGTTGTAGCGAATAGACAATATATTTATATAACAACAACATTCACTGATGTAGGTAACCACATCCAGACTTGTTCATGTAACCGACTATCACCAATTAACCAAATCACAGTAAACTGCCTAATGAACTGCTTTGGGCTAAAAACATACACGTTTTTTTTCAATGAAAGAAAATAATTTTTGCTTTACAAACTTGTGCTAATATACTGCTTCGGATGTACCAGATGCAAAGACTGGAATATATATTGGACATAGATTTAGATAAAATGGAGGTGATGGATGGAAACACAGACAGACAAAATCGTTTACTCCTTACCTACAAACCCAGGACAGGGTATATTTGAAAAGTAGCCAAATATATAAGAAAATACTTAATTTATAATGGTGTTTGGAAATCTGAAATTAAATGCTACTAATAAACAGACAATAACGAGTATGTAGCTCATTCAATTCTAATTAATAAGTCCATTTAATGGGGCACCAGGTGTGGAACACTCATATTCAGGAGCATAGCATTGTTCCATTTACCTCAGACTCCAGAATTTTCTTTTTCTGTGACAGGTGAGATGACAGCTGTCTTTTCACGGCGCTTCTTCTTGCTTCCGTCTCAGATTTACTTTCAGGTCTTGGATGATCGTGAACACCCTTGGCCTTACAATGAACCAAAGACAAGAAATTTCCTTATTATACATATACATCGAGGAACTGAAAGCATACTAGAAAATCTGGATGTGCAGTGTGTCTTTCCTGACTGATTACGAATGTTTGTTTTTCCAGCAGACGTTTTTCTGCATTCTTTTTACCTAGTCCTCTCTACAGCTATGGGATGTAATGAGCTGTAACAGTAAAGTGTTTTGGGTGGATGTAAATCGAGACAAAGTAAAAAACTCATTCAGCAAACACAGATTATGTCAAATTATGAAGGGCATTAAAATATTTTGTGGCAAGTAGAAATGTAAGATCTTGGGCTTCTTAAAGGACCACTATAGTACCAGGAAAACAAACTCGTTTTCCTGGCGCTATAGGGTCATTAGGTCCTCCAGGGTCCCTTTAAATGACCTACAAGTAGCCCTAAATATTTACTCACTTTTTCCTTTCATTTCTATAATTCCTTGTTACATTTTTTGTGTTCTCCTTTATCTTATTTTATGTTTTTACCACCCATCTCTCTGGTAATTTTCTGCACCAAACTCTCTTGTTTCACTTTCCCCTCTCTCTCTATATATATATATCCGTTATATACTTTAAAGATTTTTCAAAGTATCACAATCTAGAAAGTGGTGTCAAGTTGTAAACGTGGAGTGATCACCAGTAGAATGTGCCTGCTAGTTCTACTGGTTTCCATAGTGATTGTGTCACTTTAAGAACTTTGCACAACTTTTCTTTAAACTTTCATAAATCTCTCTCCTGTCTCCCTAACTCTTTTTCACATCTACTCAGCCTACTGTGTCCATCATCATGTTTATTCTGTTCTCTCTTACTCTTATCTTTATTTTACATTGTATTTTTTGTAACTGTTGTGTTAGTTTAGCAGTCCATTATTAACATTTGTCAGTTCATTTTTAAAATGTAGCACTTTAAATTTCAATTTCAGATATGATCAGTTAGTATGTCCATTAGGAATGTTGGTAATATGTAATGGCATCATTTCTGCAAATAATACCTGGAAAAATATGGCTTTTCCATCAAGCCTCCAGAAGTTAGTGACAGGATATCCACTGTGACCTCGACAAGGAATCAGCTCCAGAGCAGAATTACAGTTACTGCATAATTTTTCTACAATAGGAAAACAAGTACAGGTCTTTAGAGTGTTCATTCATGAGCTATCTAGTTCAGTACTTTAAAAAAATGAAAGGGCTGTAAATGCTAGAGCTCAGCTCACGTCCCTGGTCCTCTGTTCATTTTGCATTGGCTTGTCTATACGTTACTGTCGATTTCGCCAGTATATATATATATATATCTATTATTATTATTATTATAATTATTATCATTATTATTATTTTAATATTTATATAGCGCCATCATATTCCGTAGCGCTGTACAATATACACATATATATAAACACACATATATCATTACATCCTATTAAAAGATAACATTAAAACCCCATTTAGAAAAGGTTCAGGTTTTGAAAATATGGCATGTATTCATGTGAAAATATTTAGAAACACAGATTTTGGGAAATCATTGACGATGGGGTTTGGGGGATCTGGATAATATGAACTACTGTAATGTCCTCATCATTGGAAAGGTTCTGACTTCTACATCCACTGTAATCTTATTAAAAGATATAGGAACTTCTATTCCAAACCTTGTCTTAAGGCAAGTGGCACCCACTTACTTTGCTGTTTCTGACGGGCCTTGTCACAAATTGCGGGACGGAGCTGTAGTTTCCCACCATCTGGCAAGGTACAATTGCGACTGCACACCACCACACCCAGACAGGACTTTTTTAATATCTGGCAATTGTGGTTGTTGGTATTGCGCATGGCCCAGCCACTGAGATGGCGCTGTGCGTTCTTGTCCTCCCCGCTGTATATAAAGCGAACATAGCCATCTGTCCATTCCTGGAAATTGTCAAACTGCTTCAGGTCCTACACAGCATTGACATACAAGAAATGTTCAAATTACAACAAGGAAACAAGGGTATAATGTATTATTAATACAGGTGTATCACACAATCACAGGCATCTCATGCAGTACTGGAGCACGCCATTGCTGTTTGCTACAGCACCTTACACCTATTTCAGAAAATAACATTGCTCAATAACCTTGTTACTAGTCAACACTTTTTATTATGAGACACATCTCAGCCTAAAAGGTAACAAAACATCTATATAATAATCTATCACTGTTCTATGTACAAACACTCACAACACAGTAATATTAAGCACCTTCTTCATCTATACACTGATCAGTCACAACATTAACCCCTTAAGGACACATGACGGAAATATTCCATCATGATTCCCTTTTATTCCAGAAGTTGTGTCCTTAAGGGGTTAAATCCATGGACAGATAACGTGAATAACATTGATAATATTGTTACAATGGCACCTGTTAGGGGATGGGATATATTAGGCAGCATGTGAACAGTCAGTTCCTGAATTTCATCGGTTGGATGCAGGCAAAATGGGTAAGTGAAAAGATCTGAGTGACTTTGACAAGGGACAAATAGTGATGGATAAACAACTGGGTCAGAGCATTTCTAAAACGGCAAGTCTTATGGGGTGTTCCCGGTATGCAGTGGTTAGTCCCTAACAAACGTGGTGCAAGGAAGGACAACCAGTGAACCGGCATCACGGTCATGGAGGCCAAAGGGTCATTGATTGGCAGAAAACCTGACCCCTATCCACCACTGAAAGCCTTCAATGAGCCTTCAATGAGCCTTCAATGAGTCTTCAATGAGGATGTGAGCATCAGAACCGAACCATGGAGCGATGAAAGAAGGTTGCCTGATCTGATTAATTTTCTTTTAGACCAGGTGGATGGCTGAGTGCATGTGCTTTTACCTGGGGAAGAAATGGCAACAGGATGCACTATGGGAAGAAGGCAGTCAGGCGGAGGCAGTATTATGCTCTAGACAATGTTAGGGTGGGAAACCTTGAGTCCTGGCAATCATGTGCATTTTACTTTGACACATACCACCTTCCTAGAGATTTTTGTAGACCACATATATCCCTTAAAGGCAATCGTTTTGTAGACCACATACATCCCTGCAAGGCAATCATGTTCCCTGATGGCAGTGGCCTCTTTCAACCGGATAATGCACCCTGCAAAAATGGTTTAGGAATGGTTTGAGGAACATGACAATTCCCCAGATTTCAATCCGATTGAGCATCGTTGGATGTGCTGGAACAACAAATCCGGTAAATGGAGGCCCCACCTCGCAACTTAAAGGATTTGCTGCTGATGTCTTGGTGTCAGATACAATAGGACAGTTCAGTGATCTTGTGAAGAAAAACATGCATGTTTTCATTGGGGGTATAGCTATTAAAATGTTTTTAAAAAGTAAACAAAAGTCAATGGAGTGTTCCTTTAATTTAATAAAAAAAAGGCTACCATCATAGAACCAGAAACATCTGCAGATATTTACTTCTTACACTAATCAAATAAACTACATTTAAATAATAAAATACAACTATTTACACAGTGCATGGAAGGTGGTCACACAGGAGAGTATTCTTTGCCATAGAAAAGGCCCCAATTGAGAAGCTATAGACTAGAAAATGTGATGACAACTCTTCAATAGGAAGCTCAGGCAAATCTGTTTGCAAATACTTAGACTATGTTCATAATGGATTAATTAAGTCTTTGAAAGTCATGGGGAGGATGTGCAGTCACAGAGAAGGTGCTACTTGAGTATGGGAAATGATTGCTTCTTAAAGGCGGTCTGTTCTACAAGTGGTGAGTTATGCCAACCTGAAGAATGTAGAAAATAAGGCAGGTGGGAAAAAAACGCTATTCCAGACAAATTGAAGAGGGTTAATTATTTAACCCCTTAAGGACCAAACTTCTGGAATAAAAGGGAACCATGACATGTCACACATGCCATGTGTCCTTAAGGGGTTAAACTCTAAAATTCAGTAAATTCAGGCTACAATACTCCATCTTTGTCTAGAGTTGAGTTGGAGATTTTTTATTTTTATTTTTAAATCAATTATTTTAGCTCAGTGAAGTCTAATCTCCAAACACAACATTATAGTGAATTGCCATATAGACAAACACAGCTGATTTGTAAAAAGTCCAGATATAATAGAAATGGCAGATTGGTTGGCTTTTAGTTTACATTTTGTGAGTCACTCCAACCCTGGATTTGTTTTTTTAGCATAACAGTCTGAGAGACAAATGTCAGTCAGAGGCAAAAGGAAGGATTTGGTCTTAAAAAGCTAATTTGAAATGAAATATTTAGCTTCACACATTGACTATAAAAACCTAAATTGTCCATTTAAAATAGTTTAGAACACATTTGCAAAATTTAGGTTGAGAATAGACTTAATTTCGCAAATGTGTGTTTTCTTGGATTAGCAGAATTTGCAGTTTAGTGAACAAAGACAAAATAATGTATTCACTAAACTGTTAACAGGGGTCAATTGAGAAATACACAACATATCTGAAAGTATAACAAAGAGAAACCTTACATTTCTACTATATTCTCAATTCAGACATTTTAGCCTAAATGGTGCTAATAAATTGTGCAATCGCTCACATCTTGATGTTTCGTAAATAGATCCCCAAATAGATCCCCAAATCTGATCCCCAAATAGATCCCCAGATCTGATCCCCCAAATAGATCTCCAAATAGATCCCCAAATCTGATCCCCAAATAGATCCCCAGATCTGATCCCCCAAATAGATCCCCAAATCTGTCATGTTTAAATAAGTGGATGTATTCTTGTTAAATATTAATTCATCATATTTCAGTTTTTTGGTTTTTTTAATATGATGACTTTATTTTAACTTTAAAAATTCAGTGACAACCCGTTACAATGTAATACAATGCACAGTATATATTAATATATAGGCAAAGTTTTCAAGATCATTCATAATTTCTTTCACTGTCAGACATCCTTTCTAATTCTTAAACCCATCAATATTTACCTTTTCCCAGATCAATATATTGCTCACTATCGCCTGTATCTAAAAATTGGCAAAAAATATTGAGCATAGTATACTAATTGCTGTAAAATCAAATCTATTGTTTAACATGTTTTGTTCTCACTCCATATCCATACAATATTTTCTTAGGATTACATTTAACTAAGAAACTCAGCATCTAGTAGGTTTATGGTATTCACTTGACAAATTAACAAGTATTTGTCATAATGTGTCAAATTCACCCGAATGCCATCCCACATACTTAGTTTTGAAATTGATGAACTGTGTGCTTTTAGTTTTTTCTCTCGAGAATAATAATAAATTTATCTAATATATTGTTCCACTGTATTCGGTATCTTGGCAGTAATGGTTATTACTGTGATATCTCAATACATTTGAACCAATTATTTATCGCGAAATACTAGTAAATGAGATGCAGGTAAAAAAAATGCTGAGACAGAATACCACCGATTGCATTGATTATTGGCAGATTATTAAAAACTGATCATGTGCTCTTATCCCTGAGAATTACAAATATAGGAGACCAATCAAAATCACTTGTATGGCTTGCAAATACAAATATTATTATTATTACTGTTATTAGTATTATTACTTTCATTATTAATATTTACATAACTTCAATGTATTATGTATATAGCATAGAAATTATCTTCCATATACGTTCGTGTAATATATATTAGTGTGTACTATAAGTAAAGATTTGTTATTAATTTTTAATGCAGTAAAAACATGTGATGTTGAGCTTCGGTTAAAAAAAAATGTAAACTGCACTAAATATATTTTCTTTTATAGAGTTTAATTTTCAAGAGACTTTGTATCAATTAAATATTATGTGTTATTTCATCTACGGTGAGTTAAGAACCGATTAAATAACTGTAGGTATACGAAGTTATAATGCTGTTTGGGAAATAAATGGTGTATCGGTCAGACTGTGAATTGTGCTGAATTGAAATCTGAATTAGGAAATTTAGCTCAATATGGCTGCTTAGGGAAGGGGGGAGGGGGGAATATATATAGATATATTTTAATTTTTTTTTTTTTTTAAACTTAATTTTCCAATTCATGTTTTCATTAACCACAATTCACGTTTTAGTGTTTAAATACATTTATCTGCAGCAAAGTTTTTTTTTGTTTAGTTTTTTTACCTGAATTTGCAAGGTTATTCACTAAATTGCGAATTCGATGTGAATTCACAGTGAATTTCAAATTTTAGGCAAAAGTAGCCTTTATCCAGTTCGGCTATTTTACCTTAATTTCGAATTGAACTTTCACTTCACATTGAATTCTCGCTATATTAAATAACCCAGTCTGTTATTGATTTCTTGTCTTCTGTCAGCTGTTTAGTCAATAAACCCTATAATATCAAGTCTGGTTTGTTTTTAAAGAAACCGACTACGGCGTCTCAGGCTAGTGTTTTTATTGAAAAGAAGATGCTCTTTTGTGAATAAGCATAAACGGAAAAATAATTTATGTAAAATAATTTAAGTATGAATTTTCATGTTAACCCATGCTCATAGACATTCATTAATCTTTAAATCAGTTATTTATACTGATACTCCAGTCCAATCAACAGCTATTTACAATATAAATGATTCTATGCAATTATTCATATCCATATCATCTTTTATTAATTAACCAGCAAGTGAAAAGGATAGAAATGTATACGATTTGATTTCTAGTCTATTTCTTCATATTATTGTTAGTATTATATATATAGAGAGAGAGAGAGGGGGGGGAGGGGGGGAGAGAGAGATTAATATAATGAACAGTTTCCTTAGTATTTGTCTTATACCTGCAATGCTATTTTTTTACTTAATAAAATAAAACTATTCAGAATGTCTTATTTAAAGATTATTAATAAATCATTTCAACAAAGTTAATATTAAGAGAATAGAATACAAATTATCCATTGTTTTAAATCTTGTGTCAAATTGTATCTCTAATGTTTTGTGTTAATGAAAAGTGACTGGTAACAAATTACCTTTTCTATATGTTTTAGTCAAATAAACCGAAATATGCATTTTAACTCTTTATCCCAGAGCCCATATTTAATCAATATTCCAGAAGTGTAATCATTGTTAGAACGTCACAAAATTGCAACATAATATTAAAAAAGTTCACTTTTTTCATACAAAGAATTCATACAAAACACATTACAGTAACCAGCAATAAGTAACAATGATTGCATTCTATATCCCACACTATCTATAAATGTTTGTACAATGTTGTAATTCACGTAATTTGCTTAAAGCGCTAAATCAGCGTGAACATTCCATTGGTTTCCATGGAGACTGCTCTTTTATTAAGAACTTTGCACCAGGATAGATATCAATGCATAATCCAGATTCAATTATAATTTACCTAGATTTTTTTTTAGAATGTATAATCGGATTACTCATAGAAACATCCTGTATCAATTCAATTACCAGATATTTTCAGAATAAGTTATATTACATATATAATAACTGTAAATGGCTGCCCTATGTGATTATTATTTACTGTACTGTGTGTTTTATTTTTAGCTGTGTGATTATGAGTGGGCAAAGTAGTGTATACTGACAAGTATTTGGTGCATGCAACGTGAAAGTATTTGCTTGGCTTAGATTAGTTTCAAAAAGGTTGAAAGAGGCCGACCCTCTCCAAGCGTATCTACAGTATTCGGTAAGTTAGAGCACAGTTGTTTTAATAAACCACAGAAATGCAGAATGATGAACATGACTGGTAAGTGTTAGGATAGAGATTAGTGGAGTCACAGGTAGGATACACAATGCAGCAGAATTACAGATAAAAGAGAATTCGATGATTCATTTTACATGTGTCAACTTTCAAAAATGTCACCGCAAATGCCTCTCACCTGCCTGAGTGATGGCACAGCAGGGAGAGTGCTGTGATAGGAGATGGAGAATAGTGATCAGCTCAGAAACAGTGCTCTGCTCACCTGCTAGAGTGAAATGACCAGAGCCCTGGTATCTGGGGACTCTGAGTGCTCACAGGAGACAATACACAGGACACTGACATAATACAGAGTGAGCTGTGCTCACTGTCTACATTGGAGTTAGAGGATAGTGATACACAGAATGTAGAATGGGGCACTGAGTGTGCTGTGCTCACGACCCGGGGTGGAGTGTAGAATGGGGCACTGAGTGTGCTGAGCTCACTATCTGGAGTGGAGTGTAGAATGGGGCGCTGAGTGTGCAATATATGACAAATATACATTAAGTATATCTCATGTATATGAGATTTCCAGAATTTACTGCACTCACCTGCGGGAGTTTGGGGTCATTAATATCCCAAGTTAACTTCATCCCATAGGAACAGACACAGTCCGACTCTTCATACATGTCTCCTGCCATCTTGGACATATTACACTGTGTGCAGAGAACAGAAGTCACTCACAACCTCTGTGAATGTCAGCTCTGGGTACAAGCCTCAGCTAACCTCTCGCAGTCCTCTCATACAATGAATAAGAAATCTCCTGCACTGCAAATTGGTATAATGTATTAATCAATGCCACTAGGTACACATGAAAGAATAATCATTGCAAACATTAATATGCATACATAATATGGCACACATACATCCACACACAGGGGTAAACAGATAGCCATCAGGTATATGGACTGACTTTCCATTCACTTGAATGATCCCCAGGAGCCCCAGGTGGAGCACTACTTACCTGTGTGCAGACAGCAGACTGTCAGCCTTGGAACAGCTCCCAGCCACAGACAAGGTTATACAGTTCCTCCTCCTGTTTATGTAGATGAGCAGGGCTGGCTGTGATGTATCAGGGGTGCAGGCTTTGTATCTGTCACTGCTAGTGATCCATGAGGCTGACCCCACCTTCCACAGACAAATAAGACAAGGAGATGGAGAGATCACAGGGGTTGTTAATCCTGGGGCAGAACAGAAAGAGAAGTACAAGAAAGGGGCAGAGAGCAGCTCACAACTGACACATCAATGGTCAAGGTGTAGCTTTGTTCAGGATAAAGATCACCTACAAATAATTCAAAAATATACATAAAAAAGTGATAATGAAAAAAATAAAATAGAAATCGTTAGGTTACTAACCCATATTGCACATCTAGTACCTAACCTAAAACAAACAAGCAAACAAAATATAATATGGAAACATTATTTATAGTACTTTAATATTTAATAATAATAATAATAATTTGATTATGTTTAATTAAAAATGAACATTTAATTGCTTCTTAGATAACATTTTGGGATAATATCTTCCATAAAAATGGTTTGGTTTAACTGTGTGATAATAAGCACGTATGTATGCTTTGTTTTGTTTTAATTATGTAAACGAATAAACTATTTTAATAGAATTATAGAAATGCATTTTATGATAGGCTTCTGGAGATTATTTGTCAATGTAAATGATGCTTACAGTAATTAAAGAAATATATTACTATATCCCAACATTTGCTTTTTGATTCCGAGAAACTAAATGTATTTATTTATTTTAATTTGTTTTACAAACGTGCAATTATTACACTCATGGCTGACCATAGTAGCTTTGGGAGCTATTTCACAGCACCCATACTTAGACTTTAGTAAGGTAGCAATTTATTGAACCTAGATTAGTGAGTGAACGAGAATGGTAAAATATTGAGAAAATAGCCTACATGTGACTATAGGTGAGTTGAACCTACCCCCTCCCTCCCCCCCCCCAGTAGCAATAGTAGCTTCAATTTCTTAATTCGATTTATAACTCACTCCAATTTACTATTCAGAAAATATGAGTCACTTGCATTATACAGTTATTATTTATTATTATTTTATTATTTATATAGCGCCATCAGATTCCGTAGCGCTGTACAATACATAAATACATTTATTAATCAACTGAAAATTCCTACTTAGACTATCTACCTTCAACTTGTGATAACAATATCGCAAATGTCGAGTTTTAAAGAGTTGTGATAAATATTGTGTAAGCTCTCTCCAGAATATATTTATACACTTCCATACAGTATTCTCTGATAAAATATAGGTTACACTGAAATAAAATTTTCAAAGGAAAAAGATCAGCTAGCTTCTTTGGAATTCTGTTTCTGGTAAATACTAGTTTGTCTTTATAATGCAACAGGAACTAATCATTAGAAAATCAATCTTTTAGCGATGTTATGACATACCACAGGTGTTATGGCTACAGGTAACTCTGTGAGTGGAGCAGTTACCATGGAAACCAAATAAATGTTCCTACAATCCTTTCACTTTTAGAAGCATACTCCAGATTTTCAGTTTTTTTGCATAACCTTCTTGTGTTTTTGCTTACTGATTTATTTATGTATATTTTTATAGTGTATTATATTTCCTTAGTAAATTCTACAAAAACCGACCAGGAAGAGTTTGATAGGAATGGAGCAACAGATGTTACCTAGCAAGAAACATCTGCAGTCTGTTAGTTCCCATGGTGACTGCTCTCAAAGACACATCTTGATAAATAATATCGATGTACCTGGTGAGTTTTCGCTCTCCCTTTGCAAATGGTCCTGGATAATAAATGCAATAGACTTAAACAATAGTTATATTTAAAAAAAATTGAAAAAAATATAAAAATGTAAAAAAAATGAAAAATAATCTTTGCAATTATCTTTTGGTAAGTGAGCAAATTTGGGTCTAATTCTATGAGTCTCACATTAATTCGTACACACTCTTTCAAATTTCGTTTAAAGACAGGTAAACCTCCAGTTCAGTATAAATGAAATGTACATTTTTATATTTTATAATCTATTTGCTTTGGGATAATTTACCAATCTAACATCCACACTGCAGCTGAGTGAATTCTTATTTTCTTGCATTTCTGTGTTTGCATATGTATGCCTTAATGTGTTGGGAAAACAAGTCACACAACTCAGATAGAGATAATTAAATGATGTGTATAGGTACTAAATGTGTCATGTTGTAATCATTTTAATGTCAGACACGTGTGAGATGGATTGGACGGTAAGGCATTGTGTATAAACCTGGTACAGATCCCAAAGTCCATTTTGGGATACAATTCTGCAACTAATAAACACTACTTGGGTCAGTTACAGTTACAGTTTGTTATCATTAGTATATTAAGATGGATGTTTACTAAGTACCAACTTGTAACCACTTTGTGAAATAAAATCATTCAGTTATATTTATCTAGTGTCATCAGTCAAAGCTTTAAGGTCCTATTATTCGGCTCCCTAAAATAAACATCCTATAAAAATATCTAAGGTATTAAAAAAATGTGCATCCACGTATACCTATCACATATGTTAAAAAAAAATAAAAAAAATCCTTGTACCATGAAATTACAAAAATCAGAACTTTGGGTCAAATTCAGATATTATTTCAATTGTTGTTATTTGGATAGACATTTGGAACTTGGCAAATAATTCTCCCAATTTATTTAATACAACATACGACCCCTTGTATGCATATTACTTTTTTCTTTTTAAAGTTTATCTTAACTTTACAAAATAATATAAGATACAACGCTATTGTTTGTAATTTATTACTTTATTCAGTTTTCCATTTTACTCACTGGATTATAAACTCTTTAGATTAGTTGATCTGATCATTTGCAAACATTTGATAGCAATGATCATTCTACACAGTTATTGCTCTGTTGATATGTTTGTTGTTCATTTGAAGTACTTCAAGTAAATATCTGAAACATATGTTTTACACAATCAAACTAATTACAGATATTTCCTTGTCTCATTTTTAGAAACATCAACCCAATTACTCTGTAGGGAAAAAACTTTTTTTTTCCCCAAAAATAACTATACTACTGGAAACCGTTGCTGGTCCAGTTTGCCAATTTTTCAAAAATGCTACCAAGTAACATTCATTCTATACCTCCTCAAATTGATATTTCTAGAACAAGAAAATCCAACAGTCACTATATATACGTTTACATCATATATCACAGCAACCTCCACTAATCTAATTTGTCTGATGCTGAAGAAAGCAAGGTGAATTGCTAGTGTAGGACCCATCTAAGAGATTTGTCTTGAAGTGGAAGGTGGGCTTACACCTGTAACAAACTCCCTTCCCTAGTGTTTGGTTGTCTGTACCCCCTTATTCGTCCCCCGAACGAGTGTGTGGTCCCCCCTTGTTATACCCTTCAAACGCCGACCTCCCCTGGCTGTTAACCACAAATTGGTGATTAACCTGAGTGCTTCCCTGTGTGGCCGCCATTCGTCAAAACAGAACGCACGTGGTCCAGTGCATTTTGTCTCCCAAATGCAGGCAGCTGTACCTGGTAGTTGAACGCCTAAAACTATTTTCGAACTCACGTCTCCACAAACCCGGGTAAAGATGGTACCGCTGTCTGTTCCACTTCCCAACCAACTAGACGAACAGTGTTAGGGAGATAGAATCTACCAAACAGGGAAAGCATTCGCTCCCTAACAGCCAGGGGGAGCATTCATCGGTGTTAGTATGAGAACCCCCAAAAGATGACCGGTCATTGCCTTGTTTTCTACGTAACTATTTTGGGGCATCACCTTGTGGCCGACCGGTCAAAACTTTATTCGAATGGCGTTCCCGAACCACCGAAGGGATCTGAGCGCTATTTCGACAAAGTGAGTGGTCATACGCAAGCTATTCGGGGATATTATTTTTGTGGGGTTCCTATATTATTAAAATGTATTTTTATGATGTTTTATAATATTGTATATGTTTCCTGTAACTGAGAGATAATTGAGTTATAGTTTTCTCATGCAATTATCTCTGAGAAACAGAGACTCCTGGGAGGAAAACCTTTGAATTCTCGATGTGGACACCCCATGCTACGTGTCAGTGCATAAAAGCTGTGTGTTGCCAAAATAAAATCAGTTGTACTCCCAGAACTGTGTCGTCCAGTTGCTGGAGAGGAGGTGGGATATTTACTTGGCTATTTCTTGTTCCTGAATTCCTAAATCATAGCATAGGGAGATTCCTGGTCAAGACTAATGCTCTGCTACAACACCTACTGGCCATTGGAGTGAAACAAAAAATCTCTATTTGTTTAAATATGAATTAGGATTTTGGATAGTGTGCAGGTAACTCTTCTCTTTGTTTTTTTATTGTATGTATTGAGGCTGAGGTGTACTATGGTCATTGATGCCCAGGAGTAGTGGGAGTCTGAGCACAGGACTTATTTTTATGTATTTGTATTTGGTTTTGCATCACACAGCTATGTTACAATGCTGTCGCCCAGCCCATGTGCCTCTTATAAAGGGTTAATAAGTATGTAGGGGTTTAGAAAAATACCCCTCTCTGCCTCATTAGATATTTCTTTGCCTGAAACTGAAGAAAGCAAGGTGAATTGTTAGTGTAGGACCCACCTAAAGAGGTTTGCCTTGACATGGCAGGTGGGCTTACACTTAATGGCCATTGGAGGGAAACAAACAACCTCCATATGTTTAAATATGCATTGGGATTTGGGATAGTGCGCAGGTAACTCTTTTATTTGTTTTTTATTAATCTAACATCACATTTTTTAATCAGAAGAAGAACGTTGTGGTATGGCTAAAGCTTAAAACATGCATATCTACTGGCCTTGGCCAATTGTCACTATGCCCAGTGCCTAATCTCATCTGATGGTTCCCATTCTATAGTGCTGGAGAGCAATGATCCAGAATTACAGCATCAGACCATACCCGTCACCTATGCTCCTCTTTATGGACAATCCAACATTTCCACCATTATCCAATTAGACATCCACACTACATATTTTACATCCCAGCACTATTCATGGTACCACTCAACACTCCTGCAAAACATTTTAAACTCTTCTTTTTGACCAGCTAACCTCCTCCTTAACAAAGTTTCCAATCATGGAATATTATTCTAGCTTCATTCCATCCCTCAACAAGATCCGACAATTTTACGTTTAGCCTCTTGGTCACCTGCATATGGCATCTCTCTACTTATATCTCTTTTGGTAACACATTGCTTTTCTACCATTTAACATGGTGAGTGGGACAGGAATTTGGTATTGTCTTAATACCCACTGAGTGAGAAAATATATATCTTATTCACCATTATATTTACTAGATAGGAAGAGATTGCCTTTATTGTAATATCCTACAGGTAGCACAACCAGCTATGTTACATTCATTAATTCCAAAATATGCTTCTACCTAATGGGATTATCCAGACAATTATACTTGTTTCCTACATAGTTTGTAGAAATGCTTCTCCTTCCACATTTTTTGTGTACAAATGATTTAATCTCTTATCTCTGTATTTCCCATGGATCTACAGGAATCATGCTGCACTACAATCCATAAATAATTATTTATTACACATTCTTTGGAGGAGAATGGCCTATAATCTCTATTTGTCTGTCCCAATATTCAAACAAAAATGCCCAGTGCCAATGGATCCAATGAACTCTTGTTATTTTTTGTTCCAAACATTGTATTTGAGAGGACACGGTATAAATAGAAGAATACACGTGCCACAAATACAATTTGAAATGTGTTGTTTCATTTAATCATTTGCTACACAGAATAAACCTATACATGTATAGGTCAAAATTCAAATAACATTGTTTTATTCAGGTAGACCACATGGGCTGGAGTTCTGACATTTTTGTTTATTTAGCTATGTTAATGCTTAATTTGTTCAATAATAGTTCAGTGTTTACTGCTGTTCATGTTTACTATCGCTTTCTATTGTCTTGACACTTTTGATGGTGATTGGCTGCCTATCCTCCCACATTCAAATACTAGAGACCATTACCTACAGCCAATCATAATGAAGCGTGCAATCAGGATCAAGCTCACTTAATCTTTTATTGGTCTTTTTGTTTTATCTTTTTCTTTCTTGGTAAGTTTTAGCTCCACGTTTGGAAAAGGTGACAAAGTTATTAATATTAACTGATTTTCTTCTAATGTCAGTCAAAGATGCACAGTTTTTTGTTAATTAGCTCACTTAAAAGTCCCCTAATATTTCTGGTTTTCTGTTATCCCATAGCCAACAGCAAGTAGGCCAATTTTTAAGAAGTATCCTGTTTAACTACAACTTTATTCAGTGCCTATAATTAACCAGGCTGCGGCACCACTGTCACCATGTTGTGCCTTGAAATACGTGTAGCTTGTGCCTATTTTTTTATTTCTACAAGGCTGACTCTTTAATGAGAGACAGCTGCAGAGAAAGTTTTAGTTCCCACATTGTAGTCCAATATCCTTCTAATTTGCAGTTCATGTAGTGCATTCATAGCTGTAGGCATGGAAGATGACTTGGGACAATGCTGTGAACCGCCCCGTTCACTAAACTGTGAATTGGACAGCTAATAAAGAATGTTGTGCATGACTGTTCACAAAACCACAAACGGTGCAGTCAGTTAACTAACTACAGCCACACATTATGGCAGCTATTAGCTTATCCAGGAGTTCCATTTGTGGCTTGGTACCACACATACTCCATAAACCTCTGCTGGAGACAGTTGAGAGGAGTTTGTGGGATACTGTCTGATCACAGAGACTAGAATAATTGCATCTTGATATTCCTGGTCTAGATGGTCTTGGTCTGGGATTAAGAACTTTAAAGGTTAGAATATATATATTTACAGGGCTTAAAATTTGTTGTCTTATGCTACTTGCCAGGTTTTAAAAATTACTTTCCGCTGCAAGTCATAATATATAAAACACTAATTGAAATAAATCAATAACATACAGGATTCAGTGGAAATGAAAATATACAGAGCACTTCACAATAAATGAAAATTAATAATTGCTCTCTAGTTTAAATACAAATGTATCAGCTAGTCATGTCATCACCTCCTATCAGATAAGGTAGGCAGAATCTATGTACTGCTGGAAATAATATAGTATAGGTTTAGATAAATTATTAAACCAATATACAAAACTGGATTAATATTAAGTAGGGTAAAATAGATCCCTCAAAGGGTTAAAATATAGTGCAGCAGACAATACTGTTAAAAGTTTATTATCATAGATGGGCACAAAAAAATGCTAAAAATATATATGTAGCTTCCAATAAAACAGTCCCAAAAAAGAGTAGCAAATAAAAACAGCACCAGTACCAGGTATCACAGACCTCGAGTCCAAAGGATATTAAAATCACTTTCTTGCCGGCCGGACAGAAGTGAATGAGGTTTTCCTCGTGCTGTATACCACTGGATTCTAGCCGCGTGCGTTCCACTGCGGCTCAGGATGCGTGTCAGAAGTGCTCACTCTCTGGGACCGATATGTGTTAGTGTGCAGATGCCGCCTTACGCGTTTCGTGATTTACGATCACTTCATCAAAGGATGGCATCTTGGAGTCTGCAATCTTTTTTATATACTTGTTCGGTCTGTTCTCATTAGTATTAGATTAACCCTTGCTGTGCTCACATATAATGTTACAAATCACATTTGTAAAAGTTTAAATAAAATGACACATAATACATTGTTTCTTTTTAGAAGATATACACATACATAAAATTCCCAGATTTTACTATTAACATGACGTAAAGTCATGATTTTATTAAAGACACGGAGGCGAGTATTATGCATATCTCTTTCTTTATTACTCTCAGCAGCAAAGAAATAGAGATAAATAAATAACTGAAACAACAAAAAAATACAGCGCTCAAGTAGCCAATCACATAACAGAGGAAGTGACTATAATACACATGAAGCACCCACAATCCCCCTCTTTCTTGCGGATAATGAAGACCAAATACAGAAAATCCAACTTCGGCTAACGTAGCCAACCGCAGCTCCAATATGACAAATCACGAAGAATTCAGGCTAAAGGAGACACAGAAAAAAGAAGGTAATATCTGGGCTCCAACTGTATGTGCATAACTATAACAAATAAATCACTAAGTCAAACCCAACTCTTCACACCCAAACACGGTAATATAGCTAGTGGGAGCATAAATGTATCCCCAATACCTAGAACGTCTGATACTGAAACATAAAATCAACTACTAATAACGAACTTACCATACTTACCCACCATACCAGCCAATGTCCAACCCCAACCGGGTGGGTGGGTGGGAATAATGCTCGCCTCCGTGTCTTTAATAAAATCATGACTTTACGTCATGTTAATAGTAAAATCTGGGAATTTTATTAAAGACACGGAGGCTCCTATTATGCAAGTTCAAAGCTTAGAAACCACTTGAGATGCAAAATGGTCAATCGGCCTGAAGTAGAAATCACGAAAAGTCGATTCCCATGACCAATCCGCTGCACGTAGAATATCTTCCAAACGGCAGCCCATAGCCGACGCCTTAGAGGCCATACCTCCACGGACTGAATGAGGGGTGAATCTGGACGTATCGATCCCGGCCAGAGTCAACAACTCCCGTACCCATCTTGCCAACGTAGGTGTAGACACCGGAAGGTGTGGGGCTCGAAACGAAATGAACAAGGGGCATAAATCCGGGGATTGCAACGGTCGAGTAACCTCGAGATAGGCCTGAAGGCATTCGACCGGACAGAGAGCAGGATTATCTTGGAATCTAGGATAAACGAACACTTTCGAAGCTGACTTCGTCCTTCTGGATATGTTAAAGGAGATGCCTTCCGGGGTGAACGCAATGACATTCCAGTCAAGTGCTCGAACATCTGACACCCTCTTACAAGAAATTAGACATAACAGCATGACCACCTTAGCCGACAGCTGTTTCAGTGTCAGATCCTGATTTGGATACCAAGACGACAAAAATCGGAGAACCACATTCACGTCCCAAAAGGCAGCGAATCTCGCACAGGGCGGTCTAGTGAGACGAATCCCTTTGAGCAGCCGGCATACGAAGGGGTGACGTCCCACAGGTGAACCATCCAAACCTTGATGCCCAGCTGATATAGCGGATCGGCATAGATTAATAGTGCGATACGCCTTCCCAGATTCAAACATCCCAGTAAGGAATTCCATGATCATACGTAAAGGGGCAGATACGGGATCCACTGACTGTTCCACGCACCAACTAGACCAGATTCGCTAGGCGGATCGGTACGCCACTCGAGTACCTGGTGCCCATGCATTGTCGAGGAGGTCGAGAGTTGACTGCAGAACTCCCGCGATAGTCCAGGGTCCCCTGAAAGGGGCCATGCCATCAGATGTAGGAGGCCGCGATCCACTAACTCGTGCGAGTTGCCATCCGGATCCCTCAGGAGATTCGGGAAGGTTGGTATCAGGCGTGGGTAATCCGCGGTCAATTCCAGTAACCAAGGGAACCAAGGTCGAGACCGCCACAGCGGTGTGATCAGCACCATCGAGCAGCCGTGTTGCGTCAGTTTCGACAGCGTACGAGCTATCAGATTGAAAGGGGGAAAGGCATAAAGCCGATTCTTCGGCAAATCCTGAAGGAACGCATCAGTTGCTACTGCTGCCGGATCTGGTCTCCAGCTGAAGATCTTGGACACTTGCGTGTTGAGACGGGACGCGAAAAGGTCCACTTCGAACGGGCCCCAAATGAGGTCCAATACCTGGAAGGCCGCAGCGTGTAAGCGCCAATCTCCAGAATCTCTCAAGTAGCGTGAGTTCCAATCGGCCGTTGAGTTGTCCAGACCCGGAATATGTTCCGCCTGCATGGAAATGTTGTTGCGAAGGCAGAACCGCCAGAAGTTCTTTGCCATGAGAGCTAACATGCGCGATTTCGTGCCTCCCAGGTGGTTGATGTAGTGGACCGCTGACACGTTGTCCATCTTGAGCATCACGCAACAATTCGCCCGTTCCGGTGTAAGGCTGCGAATAGCGAATGTTCCTGCCAATAGTTCCAGACAGTTGATGTGGAGTGTTTGTTCCTGATCTGACCATCTGCCTCCAGTAGACGCGGTACCACAACGCGCGCCCCAGCCGTGTAAGCTGGCATCGGACTCTATCACGACGTCCGGGACAGAACCGAATATGGCTCTCCCGTTCCAGGCATCCATATGGGCCAGCCACCAGGTCAGTTCGTCTCTGGACTCGTCGTCGAGCCTCACCCTCTTCTCGTAAGAGTGGCCGGCACGTAGGTGAGAGCCCTTTAACCGTTGAAGGGCCCGATAATGGAGAGGGCCAGGGAATATCGCCTGTGTAGAGGCGGCTAAGAGGCCGATAACTCTCGCCAGATGTCGAATAGAGAGGTCGTCTGCACGTAGCGTACGTCTGATCTCTTTCTTGATCGCCTTCATCTTGGACTCCGGAAGGAATAGGAACTGTTGGATGGAATCCACTGTAAACCCCAGAAATTCTATCGATTGGGTGGGATCCAACACCGATTTCTCCCAATTGATGAGAAAACCTAGGTTCTGGAGCAAGGACGTAATCCATGACACATGAACCTTTAATTGCTCCTTTGATTGGGCCATCAGTAATATGTCGTCCAAAAAAATTATTGTAATGTCGTCCAAAAAAATGATCAGACGCACTCCACGGCTCCGGAGTAAGGACACTACCGGCTTCATGACCTTGGTGAAGCACCAGGGGGCCGAGGAGAGTCCGAATGGCAGACAAGTAAACTTCCAGCGCTCCCCTTTCCAGGTGAACTGGAGGAAATCCCTGTGGGCTGTGGTTATAGGCACTGTAAAATTTGAGGTCCAGTTTGGCCAACCAGTCGGACTCCTGAAGGAGGTCTCGAAGGCAATGGATGCCTTCCATCTGGAAATGGCGATACTGAAGAAAGGCGTTGAGGGGGCGGAGGTTGATGACTGGACGCACACCCCCTCCTTTCTTTGGGACTAAAAACAGGTTGCTTGTAAACCCCCGTTGGGTAAACGGGACCTCTTGTATTGCACCTTTGGTGCGAAGTTCCACGATCTCCGAGGAGATCAATTCTTCTTGCTCTCGAGCGAGTGAGAGTTCCCTGAGGAAAAAAAGTTGGACAGGCAAGGACACAAAATCTATATGGTAACCCCGCACTGTTTGGAGAACCCAAGCATCTGTTGTCAAGGCAGCCCACGCCTCGTAAAACTGGGCCAATCTGCCCGCCACCCGCTCTTGTGTATGATGGACAAAAGGGGTACTCACCATAAGGGCGTCTGCCCGACGAAGCACCTCTCGGATAGCGGGAATTCCAGGGTCTCCCTCTGGAGGGGAAGAATGGAGCCGGTCTGGGCTCTTGGAAGTTCCTGGTAGGGAAAAAGGAGCCTCTCTGGGCTCGAGATGAACCCCGGAATCCACGGCCAGGTGGACGGCTCCTGTTGCGCCCAGCCCCTCCGAAAACCCTAGGGGAAAACACCCTTTTCATGTTAGCCTGGGCCTTATCAATGGCTGTGAAAGTTTTAACGTAAGACCCCAGGTCTCTGACAAAATTATCGCCAAATAGCATCCCCTCGGCCGAGGGACCAGGTTCGGAGATGGCCATGGTAGCCAACTTCGGGTCGATCTTAAGCTGGATTGTCTTCCTGCGTTCAGCGGAGACGGCCATGTTGGCATTGCCTAGCAGGTAAATGGCACGCTGCACCCAGCCAATCGCCACATCTATGTCAAGCTCCGTCTCACCTGCCTTGGCGGCCTCCAATACCTCATAGGCCTTAGACAGAGGGCCAAGGGTGTCCATTATCTTATCCTGACAGTTTCTCAGGGAAAAATCCAGGCCCTTCTTTTGTTTCCAGCCTGATTTATTAGGGAACTGGGCAATCTGAGGATCGACCTCTGGCGTCTTACATGCCGACCCTGGGACCGAGGGTCTAGGACATTCAGCCCGTAACTTACTGCGACTCTCCTTAGCGAGTGGCGTACGCATCCTGTGTGCGATATAGCGGGCGATATGTTCGGGGGGTTCTCACTCAGCTGAACGAGGATGACGCAAGTCGTCCGGATCAAACAGGGGGTTACCCTACGGATCCAGAATCCCCGCGTCGCCACTCGCCCCCTGGGCAGCAACACCCCTAGCAGGGAAAGCGCCCCCAGTACGGGGTGCTACGGCAAGGGGAGCTCCCTCCTCCGAGCCGGCTTCCTCATCCAAAGCGTAGTCCAGTTCCTCACATTCATCCTCCTCACTCCGGTCGCTCTCCGACCTTTCCTCACGGGATCTAGCCCGTTTCCATAATCTGGCCGTTTTTGCCCGACCAGGGGCTCTTTTGCGCGGTGGAAGCGCGCCATCCGTGACTGCCTCAGGCGAGTCTGTCAGGGCAGGTAAAACCTGCGTCATGGAGTGGGAGGAGAGGAGTTTGGCCTTCACCTTGGCCTTACGGACACCAGGTGAGGCGGGGGTAGGGGTAGGACCCGTACCCAGTAGGATAGGGTTAGCCACCTGGGGCATCAAAAGAGACTGCGCTAGAGTCTGGGAGAAGGAGGAGGACATAGCCCCCATAGCGGAGGTGAGCGCTCTCTGGAGAGAGGACGCCATGGTGGAGTCCATCAAAGCCTGGAACTCCTCAGATATGGCCTGACCCTCAGGAAGCTCCTGATGGAAATCAGCAATGTGGCCTTCAGGACCATCACCCTTATCCTGCATGATTACAGGTGAGGGTTAAAACAGTTGAAGAATAAATGACAGGCAGACCTGAAATCAAAGATAAAAAGACATATAAGTATACAGGAGGAAAAAGCCAAGGAATAGAATCAGGGTTTAATAACCCAAAAGGGAAAGAAAAACAGGACAGGGCTAAAAGCAGCCACAAGATAGAAACAAGGAAAAAGGAAAAAACAGTGATAATAACAAATATATATATATCAAATATATATATACTGGTAGATGGCATATATAAAACAAACCTACCCCACAGTGGTGTGCACAGGACAAGAAAAACGGGCACCGTGTGTCCGCAGGAGAAGAAAAACCGGCAGGGGAGTGTGACCGGAGGAAACAAAGATGGCCGCCGCACGAGGAGAGGTGAGGCAGCCGGCTAGAGCGGGGGAGGGGGCGCACGTGCAGCAACAGTGCGGCCCGACCTTCACATGCCCGGGAGCCGCCGCCGAGCTAAGCGGAGGCTCGCCGGCGTGTAAAAGCAAAAACCCCTGGGACAGGGGATACCCCGCGGCTAGCTGCAGATCGCGGGAGGGAGGGGAGAGGGCGGGAGGCGGCACTGCCGAACGCGGCAGTAACGGCCCCCCAGGGGAGCACACCACAGGGAGAGACAATAAGGAAAAAACCACAGGCTCCTATTAAAACCTAAAGGCAACTAACTATGAGCAGAAAAATAAGCAATTAAAATAACAACACCAGAGCAGAAAAAGTTGTGTACTTAACTGGTCTGAGAGCAGCAAAGAAAGAGGGGGATTGTGGGTGCTTCAAGTGTATTATAGTCACTTCCTCTGTTATGTGATTGGCTACTTGAGCACTGTATTTTTTTGTTCTTTCAGTTATTTATTTATCTCTATTTCTTTGCTGTTGAGAGTAATAAAGAAAGAGATATGCATAATAGGAGCCTCTGTGTCTTTAATAAAATTCATAATCAAAGAGAAGAGGCAATGTAAAAAGACAAAAATATAAAACTCAAATAACAAAATTGTAGGGAAATTTGGACACATTGGAAACACTGGAAAAAATAATAATGGATGTTAGTAACTACATACTAATTAACTAACAAATGACAAATATACCATTCTAATCAATCTAATAGAGATACACTATAAAATCATATGCTTAAGTTGATCTATAGTAAAATAAAATGAAGCAAATAAAATGTTAAAAATATATATAAAATATAACCATACAGAAATTTTTTATATTAATTTTAATTCATCTCAAAAACTTTAAAAATTGAAAAATTGGTTTAAAAATTATTATAAAAATTCAAATCACACCTAGAGAAATGGAGAGAGGAGGAGAAAAAGAGGAGAAAAAAATACACTGTTAAAAATTCAAATATTATAAATATATAGAATAATATCTGGAAAATGAGGAGAAAAAAAACCAAAAGAAAAAAACCCCGTAATTTTAAATTAATATTAAAGAAAGGCATTTAATTCGAAATCAATATTAAGACAAAAAGGCTCCAAACTGTTGAGTTGAAATATCCATTTCGCCTCATTTTTATCAAGGACTTTTTCATAGTCTCCTCCCCTCCAATGCAAGTTCACTTTCTCAATAGCATAGAATTCTAAACCTGCTGGATTATTGGAGTGACAGCTTGCAAAATGTCTGGAGATAATATATGCCCACTCAGGGCTGAATTTCTACTTGTCAGGACTAAATATTCACTCACAAAAGGCTTGTAGCTGATTTTTATTTATTTATTTTTCAGATTATTTATTTTTTATTGTTATATATATTGTTATTATTGCATATAAGTGGCATACAAAATTCATTATGAATATTTCAACAATCATCTGTTAAAGTATTCCAATGGGTAATATAAAGCCTCATTTTATAATTATAAAAGATAGGAAACTGTACACACATGTGCAACTTATTTACGATTGGACCATATAGCATGCACATAGGTGACTAAAGGCATATGTGTTGCTGCTAGATTATATTACTTCTCTTTTCTCCTTTTTTTTTTAACAAACAGGTAGACACAATATGTAAAAGAAAATGTGGTAGACAGGTCTAAATAAACAGAAATAAACAGAAATAAAACATGTAAGGTGCTGAACCCAAACAGAAATAAAAAACGTAAACAATAATTGAGAGAAGATCAAGAAAGGTCCATATTGACTGGAGTTGGGCACCCACCAGAAAAAGTAACGAATACCCCACAGCTTTCTGGACGATTATTAGGTCAGGTTCTGAGATCAGCATGTTAAAGGTTTAGCTTGCCATGGCACAAAAGGTTTGATAGAGGAGAAGTCCCACAAGGGACAGATGTAGAACCCCGCTGCCTTGTGGCATCATAGACCGAATAAAGGTGACCTAATTTAGCCAGGAAAGAGTTCATCTGGGAGGTAAGTTCAAAATGATCTCTGGTCGCATTATGACCACCAGGAGAGTCCTTGAATCAGTCCAATGGTTTCCATTACCCTGTTGCTGCAACTGCCTTGTGACTGCACATAGTGACTGTCATAAGAGGATGGTGGAGTGGCATAACTCCAGAATACTGTAAGTTTAGACACTTCAGACTTGTATTTTTTTTGCCCTGATCGCTGTCAGAAATGCTGGTTTACCTCATGCCCTGACGAACTTGATCATCACATCCCGAGGAGCATTTTGGGGGGCTTTGGCTGAGTTGAGAACCTGAAAAAGTCCATCTATTTGAATATTAAACAGAACAGAGAATAGTAGCCTCCTAACATATTGGAGCTGTTTCCTATTATCCACTGAGTCCAGTATACCTCTCACCCTTAGGTGTTTCCATCTGCTATTATTATTATTATTATTATTTTATTATTTATATAGCGCCAACAAATTTCGTAGCGCTGTACAATGGGTGGACTAACAGACACATAACTGAGATCAGACCACTGACGTACAGGAACAGAGGGGGTTGAGGGCCCTGCTCAATGAGCTTACATGCTATTAACCTCCAGTGAATCTAACTTGGCATCAAAGCTGGCCTGTGCTACCTCCAGGCGTGTAATCATTTATGAGGTTGTTTCCTGCCTTATCTTTACAGAATCTAGGTTCTCTTCCACAGACCTAGCTCAGCCCATGACTGCGGTAATTTCGATACGTACAAGTGCCCTCTCAGGATCCATGCTCTTTTTCAATTCCAGCAGCAGATTGTAGATATCTTTTTCATTGAGAGTAAGCCCTTGTTGGCCCCTATGAGCAGTTCCAAATACTTCAGGAGGCTGTAAGAGATCTAAGGTGTCTAGGGCTTTGGTTTCTGATTCCTCAGAGTCAGAATCTGGTGGTGTGCCATTTTAGGTTTGCTCCGTTGGGGTGTTCTGGAGAAAAGCACACCAATATCTCCGATGTTGTTCAATTTCTTGGCACCCTGATTCTTCCAAATCTTTCCCATGTTCTTAGGCAGTATTCTCACCAATTCTACAAATAATAAAAGAAAGTTAGTCGTTGTTTATCCACCTTCACACATGGTCTATGCAGGAGCTCTCTTAACCCCTTAAGGACCAAACTTCTGAAATAAAAGGGAATCATGAAATGTCACACATGTCATGTGTCCTTAAGGGGTTAAAAGACCCAGATTTTGTTTTTTAACACATTAATAAAATGGAGTTAACTTCATGGCTCGAGTATCCTTTTAGGTATTTATGCCTTGCTAACCATTTGTAGATCATTTACCCCTCATAATGCAAGCAAGGGGCAGAAAAAATATTACAAATATATCTATTTAAAACGTAACTTAGGGTTTGTCTAGCCATTCGCCATGAAATGGTTAAGTGGCTATAATTATTATTAGTCGTAGCCGCATTAATGGTTTTATTGTCATCAAATTATGGTACATAGTATACTAAAGCACACCATGGTGTCTAAAGTGTTCCTGGTTGTCTGGTAGCTAGTTGGTTGGACAAATAACATTATCAAAGATATGGCTTCCAGAATATTGACATCAAAATCACAAAAAAGAAGGGAACAAACAAAATTAAAAACCAATAGAATGCTTGCAATATAAAAACAAGCATACATAATGTCTGCAATACAGAGAAATGAAGCATGCAGAATAGTGTTTTTACAATCTCATCATTGTTCACTGTTACTAAGTGACAACTTAAAAGGTGCTCTCTTTTTGGTACAGACGACCACATCCTCCAGGTCTAATTTTCTCTGATAGTGATCCTCTGATAGTGTTTGTTGTGTAAACATAATTGGAACGCACTTACACACTTGGTAGGATTGCTCCCGAATCAGACCTTTCCGGACTCTTGTACATTACATTATCTGCAAACTCACTGAAACCTTGCCCTTTAAGTTAAAGTGTATATTACTAAAACACACATAAACCCAAACCCAAAGCACTTACAAACCAATCAACCCCTTAAAGCTGTCAGAATGCTTGTTGCTCTTCTCTGGAAATCCACTCCAACATTCAATGAGTGGGTTGGAAAAGTAGAGGGCAATCATACCAATTTCCTACTGAAGTCAAAACAGAAATTGGTATGATTGCCCTCAAATGTATTGAATCGGACATCTTTAGGAGCACGCGTCAACATTTTAAACTATCTAACATTTTAATCTTTGGAAGACATGATCAGGACATCTTTAGTGCTAATATTTCTCTGCCTCCTCATTTTCAATTTTCTCTTTGACATACAGC